GGGGAGAGCTGGGGGCGCTGCGGAGAGAGGACAGCTGGGAGGCCATCTTACAGGACAACCCAGGCACTGCGAAATGCAGGCTAAGCCGTGCGGCCAAGAGGACAGGGGCCGGCCCGCCTGTCATCACAGGCTGCAGCAGTGGCCAGGGTCTTCTCCTACCTCCTCAGAGCCCCAGGGTGGCAAGAACGACCTGCTGTGTGCAGTGCTCCTCCCTCCTCCCAGGGAGGCCGGAGAGAGCAGTCCAGGACTGAAGGACCTCAGACCCAGCTCGGCCTTACAGGAGGCCAGCTAGGTGGGACTTGGTTTCAAAACAATTTTTAACAGAAAGGAAAAAATAAAGAAAACCGCAATTCTTTCCTGCTCTGTGTCCTGATTTAAAATTTCTCTTTCCGCTTCCTCCTCTTCTTCCTCCTCTCCTTCTTCTTTTCTCTCTCTCTCCCTCTCTCTCTTTCTCTCCTCCCCCCCATCCCTTTAATTGACTAGAGAGGGGACAAAGAGCTTTTTAGATAGCATCACTATAATTTAAACAACTTCTTGGTTTTCATTCTGGTCTAGGGAGCAACTTGGGAAAGTAGAGTCACAGGTACCTATGTTGAGAGTAGCTCTAACGTTGACCCAAAGTCAGTCTGTGTGGAGTCCTGGAGTCCTGGCTCTGCCTTGCACCTATGGTGTCACACAGGTGACTTCTTTTTCTCTTACTTCAGTTTTCTCAGCCGTAAAATGGAGTAGTTAGTAACTGTAGTGATGTGTTGGGTGGGAGGAAATAAGCTAATGCTTGTAAGATTTCTAGAACCATCCTTGGCACGCATAACAGTGATGATGTGTCTTTGCTATGAATAGGGCTGTTGTTACTTTCATGTGTGTCCTCACCTGCCTGGTGGGCATGTCTGAAATTACTCTGGGAATCGTGTGTTAAAACAAAGGGCTTGAAATAACTAATCCCTAAACCCTTTTCTGATGCTAAGGCTCTGAAGTTCTGTCCTACAGTGTTGCTATAAGAGTAAAATCAATAGTTACTTTTTCACACTGACTGCAGCATTTCTGAAAAACCATGCTTTTGGGGGTTTCGAGATGAATGTCACTGATAATTGGAAAACTTTCTCATTTCCATGAATGATCCTCTCCATTTGCTCCTTATTGCTCATAAATTGAAAAAGTTGTCTTGAACTTCAGTTTTATAAAATGTGCACATTAGTGAAGAAATACAGATATAAAGAACGAAGACCATTAGCGCTCATCTTTGGCTGTTCTGGTTTCCTGGTATGAATGTTTACAGCCAGCTGGCAAGGAGAATCCATCTTATTCTGACCCTGACCTTTGCGAAATATTTATTGAATTAGAGAAAAACAATCTATCGAGTAATAAAGATATCTGTGCATGCATTTATTATTCACGAAACTCAGCTTCATTTTGGAAAATCTGTCCCAAACCTACTCAGGCAAATCAGCCATAACAAGGTCACTGCAGACTTAGTGAAATGCCCTCCAGATGTCTTTTGTTTTAGCTGGATTGCAGCACAGAGATGAACAGAAAGCGAAGCAGGGACGTTTCAGCGGAGGGAGGGAAATTTCATCCGCAGTGTGCAGATAAAGGGAAAATATTCGGGGTGACCTTGGGACAAGGGATGCTGTACCAGGGCTCAGTGGAGACCCATGTCCGTTGGCGGGGCTGCACTCCCGCACCGGCCTCGTCCTGTCTTTTGCCTTCCAGTCTCCTTGGTCTCTTATTCTTCCACCCTTTGCTCCTCTTTAAAAAAGAAAAAAAGAGAAAGCCATGGAAGCTCCCTTGCTTGTTTGATCTTTTCCATCTCTGGCCTCCTCCTCCCACCTGCTGGCTCCACCAATCCCTGTCACCCTGTGCTTCTGAGAATGTCTGTCTTTCACTTGGCTTCATCTTAGACTGAGAATCTCAGGGATTTGCTCAGATGAGTTTCAATCCGCAGTTACCACCCCCCGACTTCAGACTGCTATTCCTTGGCCTCCAAATACCCGGTCAGTTTATTTCTAGTGGTTCTCTACTCTGGTTCCTCTCCTTCAGTAAAATCTCCCACTAGGCACCAAATATGTGTCCCCCCACCATCCCAGCTAGGTTTTCCCTGTTTAACTTTGTTTAGTTTATTAGCCCATGACCGTGTGCGTGGGAAGATGGTACGTGCACATACCAACCTTGATTCATCTCTTCTTCCTCTCCACTTCACACGCCTCTTGACCCCCTCTTCTTTTGTCCATGTTTGCAGCACACAATGTTTGCATTCCTAGTGTGTAGTCAGTCTGTGGCCGTTACACATCCAAATTCCCTTTCTGCACCCCCTCTCCCTGCTCCCCTTCCCCCTCCCTCCACCTCTTGACCCCCTCCTGCTGAGAAAGATCTACCTTCCTACTTCCTGTTACTCTCCTTTCATGACAGTCCTCTTCCGAGAGCTCAAGGAGAGGCGAGAGGACGACCTCTGCCCTCAGCGCCCTCACTTCCGCTCCTGCGGCCCTGCCTCTCAAGGGTCCACTCCTCCAACAAAGCCACGCACACCAAGGATCCTGTCCGGAATCACAGATTCCAACCACAGAAGCTGTCACCTTTTCTTTATTTTTAACAACCTACCCCTTTAAAATACTGTAGTTAGTTATGGTTAGAAAGTTTTTAAATGCCATTTATCTTTCACAGAATAAACTTTTGGCTTTGTTGATTTTCTTTATTGTATGTTTGTTTTTATATATTAATCTCTTCTCTATTATTTCTGTCTCCTTTCTTTGGTTATACTAGACTTCTAATTCCCTAAAAAAGTTCTCAAGTACTTATGAAGTGAAATGTTAGCCCCTTTTCTCTCCTAATAGGATTTAAAGCAATAGGTTTCCCCTTTAGGATTGGTTTGGCTGCATTTCACAAATCAATATCATTTATTTTTATTAATTAGTTCAAAACATTTTATGTTTTCTGTGGGATTAGCTCTAGGATGCTCCCTAAAGGTCTCCTGCATTGAAAAGGTAGTCAAGTCCAAGGAAGATTCCTTATGGCCGGAGTGAGCCATTGATAAGGTCACTGGTGAATGTGAGGTTGGGAGGTTTTCAGAGTCTGCTGCTCACTGCCCGGCCGGCTCTGCCCTTCTACATCCACTTCCTGGCTGCCGTGAGGTGAACAGCTCCCACTGCCTCACCCTCTGCTCCCCCATTTCAGCCTTACAGCCAGCAGAGCACGGACTGCGTCCTCTGAGCCTCTCCTCTTTTAAATGGCGGTGTTGTGAGTTTTGCCTCTGAAACAGAAAAGCTGACTACCAAATAATTTCTTTTCTTTTTTCCTCTGTTCTCTAAAACAAAAGCAATATAAGTGTATTGCTTGATAATCAAACATGTAAGACTTTCTCTAGTTATCTTACAACTGGCAGGCAGGTTGTTAGATTCTTTGTGTCTCCCGAGGTCAGTCCTTTGAAATGTGTTGAGATTTAGCTTTATGGACCAGCATATGTTCAATTTTTGTTAATTTTTAAATTTGAAAAGAACAAGTACTTGGTACCGGTTGGAGCTGAGAGGTATGTATGTATGACAATTAGGTCTGGTTTATTAATTGTATTGCTCAAATCTTCCTATCTCCCAACTGATCTTTTTTCTGCAGTCTCTATCCATTGCTGCAAGAAATGAATTATAATTTCCAACTATAATTGTAGAGTTGTTTCTACTTTTAGTTAGGCCAATTTTCACTCTAAGTATCTTGAGGTTAGAGTATTTCGTGAATGAAAATTTTGAATTGTTTTAGCTTCTGACCCACTCTCATTACGAAATTTCTTACTCTTGCTGAAGCATCTTAACTTTGCTGTTTATTTTGTTAGCTATTAATACAGCTCTCCCAGCATTTGTTTGAGTTTGCATAGATTTGCAAGATCTTTGCAAGATTCTTGAAAGCATCAAAGAGCTGGATTTTGTTAATTTATCAAGTCTAACAAGTTTAGTCTTCTAACGAGAACATTTACTCTTTTACCGTTAAGAGGAATTACTGATATGTTTAAGTATATATTTACCATCTTACCATTTGTTTTCATATTGTACCATCTGTTCCTTGTTCTTCTCTCTCTGGCATTGTCTCTCTCACTCAGTTTCACTCTTACCTTTAAAACTTCTCTTAACTAGTGCACACGTATTTGTCAATAAACACTATTCTCATGTTAGTCCCATGTTCTTATGCCATCCATTTATTGGCCCCCACTCTTGAGTTTAAAACCCACACACCTGACTTACTAGAGTATGAGACTTTGAAATAACTCCTCACCACACACCCAGGACATGAAGCGCTCGAACCTTGTTTGATTCTTTTGCTCCTCCTCCTCCGTTTCATGCTGTTTGCCACGAACTGTAACCTTCTATGTGCTAACCAGTATCTTCCCACGTTATTACCCTGACGTTCTTTCCTTTTGGACGTTTCTGTGTTTCCCGTGGGATCGTTTCCCTGGCTGACGGAGTACCGCCTTTCAGTACTGCACACCTGGGATTCCCTTTAGGTGAGCCTGCATCGGGCTTGCTCTCTGCCTGCGCGCGGCGATGCGCCTCCCTCGGGGCTCAGGGATTCATGAAGGAGGCGGCTGCTTTGCCTACCCACCAGTGGGTCCTTCGCCAGCCCAGCTGCCTGCCTGTTTCTCATGACAGCTACTTCTAGCTTCCAAATCCTCCTGCCAGGCGCTCTGTTCTGCTGGCCGTCCCGATGCTAATAACAATATCAGCGATGATAATACTACTAATAAGCACTCGTCGTGTATTTCTTCCGTGTCACCCCTGGTGCTAGCGTCTCATAGACGCTTCACCTCACTTAATCTTTAAAACAATACCCTTGTCCTCCTCCTACATGTGAGAGAATGAAAATTCAGAAAGGCTAAATAATTTGTCAAGGATTTCACAGTTGGCAAGAGATGCTGTTAAAACTCAAAACCAGTCTGTCTAGTTCAGAGCCTGAGCAGTTAATATTCATGCTCGCTGCCTCTCCGCCTGCCCCTCCCACCAGGCTGTCTCCATTTATTCCAGGCTGAGCTTTGCTGCACGACTGCTCTTTACTCCACAACCTGCACCCAAACTGCGCCTGAAGCGGTAACCCGGCTCCGTGCCCGTGTCCGGCCCAACAGCCCGATTCCATCTCCACCCGGACGCTGCGCCTGCCGCCTTAGTTGCAGGCTCATCTTCCTCCACGGCAAGTGTCTTCATCTGGGCCGCTGTTCTCACTCGAGGGGGTTTTGTTGGCCAGGGACCGGGGGCTGAGTCTGGAGACGGAAGGCAGTGGTGTTCCCACGTGGTGGGTGGAGGCCGAGCGCGTGGATGGACAGCTCAGGTGTGCAGAGCAGTCTCAGGAGAAGGACCCAGGCTGAGGTGCCAGGAACGCTGAGCCTGCACAGCCCTGGTCTAGGTGACAAGTAGTCTACTGAGAATCTCGCACTTGTCAGCTTCCGCACCAGGCACAGGGAGTAGAGTGGAAAGCAGGCCCAGAGCCTGCGCTCAGGGAACGAGCTGCCAGCGGGGGTGCGTGTGAACAAGCAGACCCGAGTCGAGGAGAAACGTTCCATCACTGAGGCTGCTCTTAAGAAGCAACTCGGACCTGAAGACTCCAGAAAGACTGCCCTGAGCCTACAGCCCGTGAGCAGGTGACTGCAGCACAGCTGCTAATCACTCCAGTGGAATGCGACTGACGGAAGCCTTAGGGCCATAAATAGAAACAAGTGCTCCAGCAGAGGGACGCGCACTTGAATATCCCAGAGGAGAAAGGGCACATGGTCTGGAAGCCTGCAGGTATCGCTACACAGAGCAGGAGTGGGCGGGAGAACAGTTAGCAGGACACGAGGTGTGGACAAGAGGCCGGCGCCACGTCATCAGAGCCCGATAGACCCCCACGAGGAGACGCACTTCTTTCTAAAGGAGATGTTGAAATATTTAGGTTTTAAGCAAGATTGCACTTGGCAGATGTGTTGGAGAAGGACAGGAACATTTTGTAGAAGAAAACTGCCCTCGTGCAAGTGACTGACCATGGCTGCTTAGACCGTGAGACTGACAGAGCAGGGGTCCAGGACCAGGAGGGGGGCTGTCTCGCTTGCTGCCTGTTCCCTACACTCACAACAATTCCTGGCAGGCGGGCGGCACTCCAGGAACACACGCCGCCCTTACTACCTGCAGGGTCCCCGAGAAACTGGAGCCGAGGACTGCCACTGTGTGAGCACAGCCCAGGAGCAGAAGCAGACTGAGAAGAGGAGGCTTTTGGGCAGGCACGTGCTGGCTTCCAGGGCCGGAGGCGACAACTGGATGACAGCGTCCAGTGCTCCAAGATAAACAGCTGAGGTGGAAATAAATCCCAGGGTGCATCAGCAAAAGCATAGTCACAGAACACTCTGAACAGATGAATGGGCCCAGAGAAGGCTCCTGAGGATCTCAAGGGCTGGGATCTGGCTCAGTGGCTCCACCGCCCGCCTCACAAGCTCAAGGTCCCTAGTTCGAGTCCTGGTACCAGAAAAATACAAATGAAAATAAAACATGGTTAAAAAGAGAGTGGAAATGGGCGAGAGCTTGGGGTCCAGCTACAACGGTGAGAGCAGTGAGCAGGAGCCTTCTTCTCTGCCACCAACCAAAGTGTGAACTCACACGGAGGGGATGAGTCCGCTGGCCAGAGCAGAGGGCTACTCCTGACGTTCGGAGCACTATGTGATTGGTTACACAGGCCCTGGGATCACTGTCCTAGTCCACTTTGAGAAACCACTGTACTCAGAGTGTCACCTCCATTTCCTACAGACCAATCATGCAGTCAGCCAGTAAGATGATCACTGAGATCCAGAGGGCCTGCAGACTCCCCTCCCTTTCCTCATTCCTCATGTCTGTGTCTGGGAAAACTGCAAAAGGGAATCCAAGGATGCGTGGAGAAGAGCAGCGGTTCCCCAAGTGTAGTCCCATGGACAGCAGGGGCAGCCTCGCCTGGGGACTTGTTAGAAATGCACACATTCAGGTTTCCCTGGAGACCACCTTGATTTGGTCTCCTCGGTTTTACTGTCAACTTAAGAGCACGATAAGGCACTTTTCTCAGAGTTTTAGAAGCTAGAAAACCAAACACAAGGTATTAGGAAGGCATGTTCTCTCTGAAGGCTGAGAGGGGGTCCTTGCAGGCTGTCAGGTCCTCTGGGTTTCCTTGGCTTGTGGCAGCGGCATCCCTCCAGTGTCTCTCTCTCTGCGTATTGCCTTCTCCCCTGGGTCTCAGTCTCAGGTCTTCCTCTGCCCTTCTTATCATTGGAGGAAAGGCCCATTCTGAATCCAAGGTGCTCCTAGCTCAGTAACCATAACATGCTTGCATCTGCAAAGACTGTTTCCACATAACATCATAGTCACAAGTTCTAGGGCTCGGGCTTGAACCACTATTCAGTGGCCACTATTCAGCCCACTACAGACCTATGAACCTGACTTAAGATTTGGCCCAGCAGCGGGTCTAGTACCCTGTACACTAGGCTCACCGGGAGAGTTTGTTCAATTCCTGAAACATTTAATAAGAATTTGTGAGACTGGAGCCCACAGTTCCCTAGAGGATCCCACAGCCACCAAGTTTGAGAACCAAAGGAGTAGTGGGAAGATGGAGGAGTTTGACAAGCCTGTGTCCCAAAACTGTTAGCTTCATCTACTGTTAGTTTACATCCACTATTCTGTAAAATGGAGGTGGTCTACCTACCTCACAGTATTCTGTCATCACTGCAAAGATTAAACCGAGTCTTAGCTGTGAAGCCCTTGGACGTTTAGCCACGTTATGTACCGTAGAGCTTCAGAGATTTCACCCATGATTGAAGTGCTCATAGCTGCCTTCTCCTGAGAATTTCCACTCTGTCCATGGCCCACCTTCATCTCTCATGGCGAGTAGAGTGGCCTTCATTCAAGCATTTTCCTCTGGACACTTCCGCTTTCAGAAAGGAAGTCGTTCCTGCCTGCCCAGTTTAGTTATCCCTCTTGTCACGAGGATATGTGTTCCACTGGCCACAAGGAACGTGGGTGGGCTCTGGTTATTTTCCAGGAAGCACATTCTTACACTTATACACACTGACTATTTAACGCCTATTCTACTGAGCAGTATAGTTCCCTAGGAGATCATTTAAAAGACGAAGAAATTCCAAATTCCAGATAATTTAAGCTTTTTTATTCAACAAGAGAAGCAAATTACTTATTGAGAACGTAAATGTCAGGGGCTGAAGAAATTGTGATAGCGTCAGTCATCCTGGAGCTTGGAGTTTAGTCATGAAAACAAATCATATCACAAACAAAGAAAAATCTCAGCAATGATAGGTGCTAGGATAGAGGCTTTTGTTACAGGGTACTTCAGACTTCTAACAAGATCAGACAGAATCAGGGTAGTCAGAGAGGTCTTTTCTGAGGATGAGACCCTTAAGTCAAGATGGCCAGTATGACTAGGAATGAACCATGTGAAGGAAGAAACAGGAGGTTCTAGGCAAAAAGAACAGCCAGCTCAGAAAGGCTGTGTGGCAAGAGTGAATTATTTTGCCTTCAGTGTTCTTTGCTTTCTGCCCCTCCCCATTTTATTTCTGGTCACCTGATGAAGTTAAGAGGCTACGGCTCCAGACATTGTGTCTCCGCTCGAGTCAGGACAGATGGGAAAGAGGTCACTATTAGCTCTGTCTTTTTTACCAGTAGTCAAACCTTTCCCAGAAATTTTCCAGCAGGCTCACCCTTCTGACCACAGGACAAAAGCTCATCCTTAGCCATGACCAAAAGGAATGGGGTCAGCATGACTGGGCTACATCCAGGGGTCTTCCCTTTCTAGTCCAGGGTCAAATACGACTTCCCCGAAAGTGGGCAAGGACACTGTTGATGAAGAGACAGCACTGGCCGGGCATTCCAGCGTCTAGCACAGAGGCTGCAGTGGGAGTGCCAGGCTGCACAGAAGGAAGCTGGCTTCTATGGAGGTGCAGGAAGTTTCAGAAGTAGGACCCCTCATGGACCAGAGAGGCAAGGAGCAGAACAAGTGGAGGGCTGGGAGGGCAGGAGAGCCAAGTCTTCCAGCTTGGGCACTCGTGATACCCTTAATGGATAAGGATGGATAAAGCTCAGTTACAGGTGGCAACCGGGCTCTCTAAGGGTACATTCCTGGCCTATTTCCCATCACTATAACACAATAAATATTACTGTGCAATTTAACAAGAGAAGTGTATTTGAATCATGGTTCTAGAAGTCCCAGAGAAGGTGCCGGTGTCCGCTCTCCATCTGGGGAGGACCTCCTGGCTGTGCCATGATGAGGTAGAGGACAGTCACTAAGACCAGGCAATCCTGGCTCAGCTCAGCATGGCCTCCTCTGCTTAGAAATCCACCAGCCCATCCTAAGGGTCGCAGCCTGACAACGTTGCTAACCCCCATTACCTCCCAGGGTACAAATACCATCAACACAAGAGCTTTGGGGTTCCAGGACAGCGTGAACTTCAGAGGGGGACACTCAGACCAGGCCAGATGTACAGCAGAAGCCTTGGCCTCTACCTTCCAGAGCCAGGACCCCAATGCAGAAGTGCAGAGTCTCCAGCCTTTGCCGTAGGTGCCCCGTGAGGAAGGTCATGCCATGGAGGACTCGGCACTGAGATGGAAGGACTGGGGCAGGACTGGGGGAGGCCGGGAGGTGCCCAGAGCACCCGCTTCCAGCAGCCACCTGCCCCTCCCGAGAGACGATGCTGCTTCATGGGTTGCGTCTCTCCTGCCTCTGGGCTGTGAAGTGCCGTCTATGTATTAGCAAGAATAACCCTTTCTCTTTATAACTGGGGCTTCCTCAGAGGTGTCGTAGAGTACACCGCTTCCTTGGCAACACAGAAGTCTGTTTAGAAGAAACCCGAAGAGAATTCCTGCCTCCTTCTCGTCCAGAGAATGGACAAATGTTTTCCCCAAAGCACTAGTGAGCTTTAATCTGAGGAACATTAAGAATCGCATAACTGTTTGCTTCCATTTTTATGCTGATTGTGATTATATCGGTTTGCTCTTTTGCGTTGACTCCAATTGAAATTGGAAACCAAATTTGTGATTTCCCACAAGTGCGCAGCCTTGTTCCTGGTTATATTTTAAGTTCTTGCTTCAGTTTTTTCCTTCTTGCTTTGTCTCAGATTTGATTTGGGTAATCTTACATTTTATATAGCCCTGTACAAGAACCATAAATGTATTTTGGAAGCGATA